TTTTTCCAGCTTTATTTACACACAGTAACCCACAATATCCTAGTGAGAAAAAAAATATGAAAAAAAAATGAAAACAGTAAAATACCCTATTTGGATAAGTGAACACCCCCCCCTTAGAATTGCAATTGCAAACTTGCTGAGGTATAACCAACCACCTTCCAGATCACAAATCAAGCTAATTGGCTTCCATCTGTGATCAATTGTAGTGACTTTGATTAGTTCAGAATAAAAGCAGTTGATCATAGAGGACTCCACTGCTTAGTAGTGCAATTCAAAGCAAAGAATACACTATGGGCGGAAAGGTACTTTCAAAAGATCTAGGAGATAAAGTTGTGGAAAGGCACAAGTAAGGGGATGGATATAAAAAGATTTCAAAGGCTTTGTCTATCCCTCTGAGCACAGTTAAGACCATTATTAAGAAGTGGAAGGCGTATGGCACCACCCAGACCCTGCATAGATCAGGCCGTCCCTCCAAACTGGATGACCGGGCAAGGAGGAGACTGATCAGAGAGGCTACCAAGAAGCCAATGGTGAGTTTGAAGGAGCTTCAGGACTTTATGGCAAAGACTGATCAATGTGTGTATGTGACCACAATATCACAAGCGCTCCACAAATCTGGCCTCTATGGGAGGGTGGCAAGAAAAAAACCACCCCTCAAAAAAGGCAACATCAAAATTGAACTTTTTGGCCTGAATGCAAAATGATATGTCTGGCGATAACCCAATACATCTTTCCACCCAAAGAACACCATGCCTACAGTGAAACAAGGCGGTGGGGGTGTTTCTCTTCAGCAGGGACTGGAGCACTTGTCGGGATAGAAGGGAAAATAGACAGTGGAAAATACCGACAGATTCTTGAGGAGAACCTGCAGCCCTCTGACAGGAAGTTGAAAATGGGAAGATGGTTCACGTTTCAACATGACAATGACCCAAAGCACACCGCCAAAGCAACCGTACAGTGGCTGAAGGACAAGAAGGTGAATGTCCTTGAGTGGCCTAGTCAGAGCCCCGACCTAAATCCCATCGAATCTGTGGAATGACTGGAAGAGTGCAGTCCATGAGGGGTCACCATACAATTTGACTGAGCTTGAACAATTCTGCAAGGAACAATGGGCAAATATTGCACAGGCTAGGTGTGCAAAGTTAGTAGAGATGTATTCAAAGAGACTCATGGCTGTAATTCAAGCAAAAGGTGGTTCCACAAAGTATTAACTCAGGGGGGTGTTCACTTATCCAAATAGGGTATTTTACTGTTTTAATTGTAATTAATTTTCAGAGTTTTTAGATTTTTTTCACTTGGATATTGTGGGTTACTGTGTGTAAATAAAGCCAGAAAAAGTCTGATTTTATGCGTTTTCATTTCAGGCCATAAGGCAACAGAGGGTGAACATTTTGAAAGGGGGTGGTAACTTTCTATACCCACTGTGTGTGTGTGTGTGTGTGTGTGTGTGTGCGTATATATATATAGATGGCTCTGCATAAACCCATGTACTGAAGCTTTACCTAAAATCCAGCAAACACACAACCACCACACAACATTGTCTCAACGTTAGGGTTGCAAAATTACGGGAACTTTCAATAAATTACCTGGTTTTCCCGAAATCCCGGTTAAAGGATTCCCCGAATCAGGAAGGAATAATCAGGATTTCTGAAAAACCAGGGAATTTATTGAAAGTTCCCAGAATTTTGCAACCCTACTCAAAGTTGACTTAAAGTTGTTGGCCTCAACGTGAATGTGCATAAAACCATTTAAAGACCCTTACAGTCTATGCCTACTAGCCATGGGTCGTGTTCATTAGGGCATGCAACGGAAAACGCATTGAAGTGTTTTGCAACGGAAAACAAAAATGAGTGTTTCTTATTGGACAAGTCCTGGTAGTCCCTCCATGTTTCAGTCAGTTTTCCTACATTTGGTTCCTAATGAACACGACCAATCTTTCCCCTAACCATTAGACCGAAGAGTAATCTCTTTGATTCATCGTGACATTATGTCGATCCGTCCTTGGTGCTGAAACCCATCAGAAATCCATACAGACCCAGGTCTCCACTGACCCATATCCCATAATAGAGGAGAGGTCTGTAGCCTGGGAGAGTCCACAAAGACAGGGGCCACCGCTGATCTGATCACTGCCCCCTGGCATAAAGCTTAGCCTACTCCTCCATTGCCACGTAAGTGAAGACTTTGGCACAGACATTTTAAAGATACATGCACACTCCCTGGCATAAATCCAATAGCCAAATATATTATATAGCTGAGTTGGCAATAAATACATAACTGAATATTGAATATTTCCATGGAGGTTACTGGCTGCACTTCCATCAACGTATCCCTTGCTCAAAGAAACCCTATTGGGGAGTAACGATGGGTAACGCAGAAATATCTGCACTATGTTGCAGTGGTTTGGTTTCATTGCCATCTGAAACTCCAGGGATGGTTTCTATCAGAACCAGACTGATCTCACTGTCAACTAAAACACAGAATCAAGAAGGACAGTTTCCTTGATAACCTACTGTGATTCAAACTCATTGAAGCGGAGGGAAAAACAATGTGTTTTATTCACGTGTAGGGAGTTTGGCATTTGACATCAGCAGAAAAAAGTTGATGAAGCATTTACTATAGCTTAAAAGGGATAGTTTGCTCAAATTACAAAATTACATATTGGTTACCTTACCCTTTAAGCAGTCTTTGGACTAGGAGAGACAGCAATCCATGCTTTGGTTTTGTTTACCTGGCTGCTGTCACCGAAAGAATGCTAACTTTAGCATTTTTGTCCAAAAACCAATGCAAGTCAATATCCCCGAAATTAGCATACACTATATATACAAAAGTATGTGGACACCCCTTCAAATTAGTGGATTTGGCTATCGAGCACACAGCCATGCAATCTCCATAGACAAACATTAGCAGTAGAATGGCCTTACTGAAGAGCTCAGTGACTTTCAACATGGCACTGTCATTGGATGCCATCTTTCCAACAAATCAGTCCGTCAACTGTAAGTGCTGCTATTGTGAAGTGGAAACATCTAGGAGCAACAACGGCTCTGCCGCGAAGTGGTAGGCCACACAAGCTCACAGAACAGGGCCTCCAAACTGCCCCTGGAAGCAATGTCAGCACAAGAACTGTTCATCGGGAGCTTCATGAAAGTGGTTTCCATGGCCGAGCAGCCGCACAGAAGCCTAAGATCACCATGCGCAAAGCCAAGCGTCGGTAGTCCGACGGACGAATCTGGGTTTGGCGGATGCCAGGAGAATGCTACCTGCCCGAATGCATAGTGTCAACTGTAAAGTTTGGTGGAGGAGGAATAATGGTCTGGGGCTGTTTTTCATGGTTAGGGCTAGGCCCCTTAGTTCCAGTGAGGGGAAATCTTAACGCTACAGCATACAATGACATTCTAGACGATTCTGTGCTTCCAACTTTGTGGCAACAGTTTGGGGAAGGCCCTTTCCTGTTTCAGCATGACAATGCCCCTATGCACAAAGCGAGGTCCATACAGAAATGGTTTGTCAAAATCGTGTGGAAGAACTTGACTGGCTTGCACAGAGCCCTGACCTGAACCCCATTGAACACCTTTGGGATGAATTGGAACACTGACTGCGAGCCAGGCCTAATCACCCACCATCAGTGCTCGACCTCACTAATGCTCTTGTGGCTGAATGGAAGCAAGTCCCAGCAGCAATGTTCTAGCGGAAAGCCTTCCCAGAAGAGTGGAGGCTGTTATAGCAACAAAGGGGGGACCAACTCCATATTAATGCCCATGATTTTGGAATGAGATGTTCGACAAGCAGGTGTCCACATACTTTTGGTCATGTAGTTTATTTAACATTTCCTGCAAAATCACCCCCAAAAGTCTGAAATTGATTATGTAACTAAAACATGCTAATTACATAAATACATGTAGCCTAATTATTATTTTCAGCAAAGCTATGTCTACTGAGGGAGAGGGGCATCATCTTGACAGAATCCTTTTCCGTTTCTGGGATCCAGTTAACTTGCTCATTGCACCATACCATGGTTCTTATGGCCTGGAGAACACAACAATGGCTACTACATAAATATGCCCAAACCTACAGAGGTTTGGGCACATTTCCCACATTTCTGTTCTACTGGGACAGCAGCTCATCCATCCAGAGAAGATGACACATGACAGGAAATCAGAAGCCAGAGAAACTTACAAGGAGTCAAGAACATAAATGTATTGACTAGGAGTTGAACAGGTTTTTTTTTACCACCCGCTTTATGACTTTTATTCTGATCCCGAAGTTGATTTACTGTACCGCTAAGTGTAACCACTAATTTGAAGGGAATACGTATTTCGCAATGAAATTGTGTACATTCCTAGTCCATCGATGAACTAAACGAATGAAGCAAAGGCTCCGATCGATGTCACAATAAAGAGACATAATTCATCAGCTTTCGCAGGTCTGACTTTATTTGATTAGTATGTCCATACGGCCTAACCCAGGGAGCTAGCATGCCAACATACATTTCTAAGACAATGTTTCAATGACTTTCTAATCAAAGGGCCTGTATATCAGAGCTTATAGCACGTGAGGTTTTGTAGAGAGGTAATTTCAGTCTCTTTATCTACAGTTACTGTGGTCCCAAAGTATGATCCACTACCTATGATTGATGACTTGTCTTATGTGTTTTTGTTCATGCAGAGGGTGAAACATCAAATCTGAATCTCTTGATTTTCTCAAATCAATTTAGTTTTTCTTTGCATATGTAAACCTTTACTGAACTTTTGAGCGGACAAATCTGTACGATATAATGTAAATTCCTTAACATATGCATGCAACGTTGCAATATCTTGCCCAACAGACGAATTACATTCAAACCTTTATAAGTGGGATCCAAGCCCTCTCATTTCAGGGATATATTTATCAGAATAGAAAAAAATCCCATGGCCACAGTGTTGTTAAAGTCTAGAGTCAGCCATGCACGGAAGACATTAAGAGTTAACATGGAGAGCTTGGTCCTTTGAGGTGTACTGAGCTTTCTAAAGCCTCAAGCTTAATTTCGCTGCCCCATTGTCCAGAGTGTCTGTGTCACACACCTCCTCTATGTCCTGTAGGCTGGAGGCGTCCGTATCGTCCCCACCACTACTTTCACTGTTCTTGAATGCGAGGCCGCCCATGAAAGGGTACACGCCCAGACTCTGGGCGCAGAGTTCTCTGATGTTATGGTTAGTGAGCTCCAGGTCATGTCTCTCGGACGCCTGCTGACTCAGACACAGGCCCTCCTCAATGGCTTTGTTCCTCTGGTAGTACTTGGAAAACTTGTTGAAGATTATGGTGATAGGCAAGGCGACCACCAGCAAGCCGCAGAGGATGCACAGGGTGGCCACCAGCTTCCCCAGCAACGTCACCGGGCAGGTGTCACCGTAGCCCACGGTGGTCATGGTGATGGTGGCCCACCACCAGCCCATGGGAATGGTGCCCAGCTCGGTGTCCTCCTCCTCTTTCTCTGCCGAGTAGATGAGCACGGAGAAGATGGAGATGCCCACAGAGAGGAAGAGGAGCAGCAGGCCCACCTCGTGGTAGCTGTGGCGGACCGTGGCGCCAAGCGCACGCAGACCCACCGAATGGCGCGCCAATTTAAGGATCCTGAAGACGCGCATCAGCCGGAGGACCTGCACCACCTTGCCCACGTTCTCCAGGTTCTCATTCTCCTCATCCGCCGTCTCAAAGGCCAGCGTGATGTAGAAGGGCAGGATGGAGGCCACGTCGATGATGTTCAGGGTGTTGCTGAGGAACTTCCTGGGGGAGGGGGCTACGATCAAGCGGATTATGAACTCGGCCGAGAAGCAGACGATGCAGACCACCTCCAGGATGGCCAGCACGGGGTCCTCGATGTGCCTCTCGTTCTCGTCCACGATCTGAAACTCGGGCATGCTGTGGACGCACATGGCCACGATGGAGGTGAGCACCACGCTCAGCGAGGCCACAGCGATGATCTTGGACGAGAGTGAATGACCGGGGTCCTCCAGCCTTATCCACACGTAGCTCCGCACCTCGGCACACCACGCCCCCTTGAACTTCTCCAGGTCCTTGTCCAGGGCTGAGAGCTCCTCGAAGGACGAGTCCAAGCTGGGCGGCTGCACGTCGTCGCTTTGGATGTCCCAGTCGCGGTCCTCGATGTACTCCTTGCGCTCCTGGAACCAGTTGCTGCAGCACTCCCCTAAGTGGAGCTCCTGTATGCCCCAGTACTCAATCTCCTGGCTGAAGGAGAAGACGCACACCTCCTCCATCATGTGGATCCGGCCCGTGCGGTAGAAGTTGATCACGCTGATGAAGATGTGGGGGTTGCGGTCAAAGTAGTACTCGCGCTCGGTGGCACTGTAGTCGTCGCAGAGCTCCAGGATGGCGTCCTCGCTCCGGCAGTGTAGCAGACGGCCCAGGCGTGTGTGGGGGAAGCGGAGCAGCGTCTCCTCTGCCACCTCGTGCCGGACACCTCCCACGTTGAGGTATACCTGGTCTTCCTCATTTCCGCATCGGTGGAGGACTTGCCCATATCCCATGTTGGTGATGATGAGCCATAGGCCACATGGGCATGGAGGGAGAAGTGCTGGTGGGAATTGTAGTTTGGGATGATCAGCCTCCGGTGGCTAGTGGTGAGGTTAAGGCTCAACGGTCCATCTATGAAGAGGAGAAACATTCCAACTATCAATTGTCATTCTACCACCCATTTTAAGTATAAGGAATAGGGTTGTTCCATATGATATCAATGACTTACTGACTGCACCCCTTTTGATTTGAACAAAACCTTCCATACATGTTTGCCCCTGGTAAAAGTGGTCAGAAAGTGACTTTTAGGGCCTGAATGACAAAACATTTAGGAGATAGAGGTGCTCAAAGTTGACTCATTTTGCACACCGCACCCTACCATTAGACATCCATCTCTTCATCATTGAAAAAGATAAACGGATGATTTTGATATAATTTGAAAGCCTACAAACAGGATTGTCAAACAATTTGATAATTTCTTGAATAAAAAAAAAGACATTTGTATAAAAATGTCTTTAACATCAATTATCTAAAAGCATCAGAGTGTTTGTGCCCACCATCGGTTGAGACACAGCATGTTCTTTGATTGGTGTCATGTTTTGGCTGATAAATGTACTAAAATGTCAATAAAATTGAAATTGAAATTTAAAAAAATGGTACCACAAAGATGGTTGGAGGTCCACACATCAGATAATGTTGACTTGAGTGGGAATATCCATTGTCTTCAATTAAACTGTACATTTTCCATAGGAAACCTATTGAAACATAGATATATAGATAATAAAATATACATTCCCATTCAAGTTGACATTTGACGGTGGGTGGATATCTTTCTGGTAGTAATTGGAAGTTAAAATGTCAATTCAATTGTGTATCATCTAAATTGCAGTGGTATGAAGGGATAGGTCCATTCTATGAATTCCCTTTCTATGATTGACATTTTTACATTTTTGTCATCTTATCCAGAGCGACTTACAGTTAAGTGCCTTGCTCAAGGGCACAGACAGATTTTTCACCTAGTCGACTCAGGGATTAGAACCAGTGACCTTTCGGTTACTGGCACAACGCGCTTAACCACTAAGCTACCTGCCGCCCCATGACACCCACTGTGTATTCAAGAGTAGCCTATGCTGTCGCAGCCATGAAATGCACAACACAAACAACTCAGAACATGTAAAATAGGGTTTAAGATACACTACATGACCAAAAGTATGTGGACACCTGCTCATCGAACATCTCACTCCAAAATCATGGGCATTAATATGGAGTTGGTCCCCCCTTTGCTGCTATAACAGCTTCTATTCTTCTGGGAAGGCTTTCCACTAGATGTTGGAACATTGCTGCGGGAACTTGCTTCCATTCAGCCACAAGAGCATTAGTGAGGTCGGGCACTGATGTTGGGCGAATAGGCCTGGCTCGGAGTTGACGTTCCAATTCATTCCAAAGGTGGGTGGAGGGGCAGCTCTCGGGAACTGTTGGGGGATCTTGGATGGTTGGTGGCCTGGCTGTTTGGAGCTTGGGCCAGTGGCCAATAGGTTGCTGGTCCGGCTCCCCGATTTGACTTGGTGGGAGATCTGTTCGACGTGCCCATGGGTGGGGCGCTTGACCCTGGTTGCTCCTGTGGGTCGCTCTGGATGGGAGTGTCTGCTAGATGACTGAATGTAATGTAAATGTTGAGCGGCTTCACTGCAGGTAGATTGTATGTTTTAATATTCAATAAAATTAAATTTAAAAACATATTTCCCTTCACTGGAACTAAAGGGCCTAGCCTGAACCATGAAAAGCAGCCCCAGACCCTTATCCTCCTCCACCAAACGTATCAGTTGTCACAATACATTGGGGCAGGTAGCGTTCTCTTGGCATCCGCCAAAACTCAGATTTGTCCGTTGGACTGCCAGATGGTTAACTGTGATTCATCACTCCAGAGAACGCGTTTCCACTACTCCAGAGTCCAATGGCGGCGAGCTTTACACCACTCCAGGCGACGCTTGGCATTGCGCATGGTGATCTTAGGCTTGTGTGTGGCTGCTCGGCCATGGAAACCAGTTTCATGAAGCTCCCGACGAACAGTTCTTGTGCTGACAGTTTGGAAAGGCAAAGGCAGTTTGGAACTCTGTAGTGAGTGTTGCAACCGAGGACAAACAACTTTTACGCGCCAGGCATTGGGCGGTCCCGTTCTGTGAGCTTGTGTGGCCTACCACTTCGCGGCTGAGCCGTTGTTGCTCCTAGACGTTTCTACTTCACAATAACAGCACTTACAGTTGACCGGGGCAGCTCTAGCAGGGCAGACATTTGACGAACTGACTTGTTGGAAAGGTGGTATCCTATGACATTGCCATGTTGAACGTCACTGAGCTCTTTATTAAGGCCATTCTACTGCCAATGTTTGTCTATGGAGATTGCATTGCAGTGTGCTCAATGTTATACACCTGTCAGCAACGGGTGTGGCTGAAATAGCCCGAATCCACTAATTTGAAGGGGTGTCCACATGCTTTTGTATATATAGCGTATGTGAAAATTAGACAAATCTGAGTTTACACATGATTATTTATTACAAAACTTTTTTCAGTATATATTATTGGTTTTAAAAGCAGTCAAATGTGTCCTAGGAATGCTATTCATGCAACCTGGTCAGAGTATTATTCTGTATTTCAAACCTTTGGTAAGCTTTCAAATGATATCAAACTAAACTGTTTATAATCTTCAGTAATGAAAACATCGATGTCTCATGGTAGGGTGGGGTATGCAAAATGGGGAAACTTTGAGCACCTCATCTTGTTTTGGTATTCAGGTCCAAAATGTCACTTTATGACCACTTCTCCCATGGGCAAACATGTATGGAAGGATTTGTTCAAATAAAAAAGGGTGTAGTCAGAAAGTGACTGAATTCACATAGAATGACCAATTTTCTGTATAAACAATCTGTCCTCTTGAATCAGCCTGGTGTCATAGACTAGACGTAACATAGTACATGTAAATCCGAGACACTGAAATTAGTATGATATGTTACGTTTGGTATGGTTACATAAGACAGATGGTTACTTAAGGTAAAAACGAAAGTAGAATGGTTAGTCAGGTTGGATGGGTATACGTATAATACGAACATCTAGCAACCTAAAGGTTGCAAGTTCGAATCTCATCACGAACAACTTTAGGTAATTAGCAACTTTTCAACTACTTACTACTGTTAGCTAACCCTTTTAGCTAACCCTTTAACCTAACTCCTAAACCTAACCCCTGCCTAGCTAACGTTAGCCCACTAGCCAACGTTAGCCACCTAGCTAGAATTCGTAACATATCATACTTTTTTCAAAATCGTAACATATTGTACCTTTTGCTAATTCGTAACATATTATATGAATTGTAATTTGTAACATATCATACGAAATGGGTGATGGACAGCCACAAATGAATACATACCATAAGTAAAGTAACATGTCATACTAAATGGAGTGTTTCAGATTGAAGTACAGAATAATACTCTGACCAGGTTGCATGAATAGCATTCCTAGGACACATTTGACTGCTTTAAAACCAATAATATATAACACCATTAAAAATATCTGCCCTGAGGCCACCAATGTTTATATCCACATACAATGGCTAGCATCAATGGGAAGAATATCAGAGTAGGGTGGGTGTGTGGTATGTTCATAGGCATTGAATGGTGGTTCAGTACTATCACTTCCTCAAGCAGGCTACTAAAGTACTAGGTTTCACCAAGGGAATCGAATTACAGGTCCTCAGCACCAGAGAAATGGGATTTGACAACAGGATGAAATGGGACCTTACATCGAGCAATTATTAAAAAATATATATCTTAATTTTTGCGGACAACAAACTATTTCGACAAGTGTTATTATAGACCCCTTTATCAGACATTGAACGGTTAAAGAATGAGACTACCCTAAGCAGCAACAGTAGTGCGTTTATTTTATTTAGGTTATTCTTGAATGGCGGCTGTAACTTTGTTCTGTCAAATTAAACCTGATAGGCTACTATTTTTTTTAATTTAGGCTATAATTGATTTATTTTTCTCTTTTATACCAATTAGACTTGAGTCAATTTCCGTTTCTCACTACAATGTAGGCAATAAATTATGTTATATTATATTCTATATTAGGCAAGCATCTTCAAACAAATCGACATGATGGGCTCCCCAATAAGTTCAAAATAATAATAATACATAAAACATACCTGTTCCTGTGCCCGTTCTTTCCATTAAAATAACTTTCCGGGTAGTGATTTTCGGATTATTCTCATCTCCAAATACGTAGTAGTCCCATGCTTCATAATTAATTATCCCTAAACCGAATCGTTGTTAGTGCTCGGTGCCCGCCCGCAATAATGATCGGACAGGGAGTGCAGCAGGCTGCTTACACGCAGTCCGCTACTCCGACAAGAACGCACCAATAGAAACGGCGCGAGGATTTTGTGGTCCATAACCAAGCAAGGGTTTACTTCAATCTCCGAGATGGGAGGGGCATCGGATATGGGGGTGATTTTAGTCTTATGATTAAGTGTGGCAAATGTCTTTTTAATGCCTTGTTTTAAAAAAAAATCTGTGAATATTTGACCTGCATCGTTGAATGTTTCGTTTTCTCAATGAATATTAGGCCTACTCCTTAAATCCTGCATGGTGATTGTCTGGCCCACAATTGATGGGCAGATAAGCAATTATGAGTGTCACATGTTGTGCTACTATATAAGTATAAATGTGAGGTGCAGGAACTATAGGGTATAGGGTTGGTCAAATATAGGGCATGGCTGTAGTCGTGTATTTGATCAAAAACAAACTAGGGCTGTTCTACAATGGGTCATTTTCTTGGATCAGGGTTAGTAGCAGGCCTAGAAGAGTCCTATATGATGCAAACATTTGACTTGTCTTCATTTAAATCATTTTTCAAATGCCTTACAGGTGGTTTTGCCTGTTGATGATCGCTGTGGGCATAAAAGCACAGAAGACAGCTTCTACAAGTAAGATTCTTGCACCCTGTATATTCCGTCACTAAATGTTTGACAAGATTTTGATTGACTCACCTTTCCCATTCTAGATGACCTCAACCCTGAATGCCTGGGGAACATTATTCGTTTGATTGTGGATCCTCTTTTGGGGAGGTTTGAAGTTGATGTTATTGTCAGTGAGTTTGACTCTTTATGAATCTCTCTCCTTTCATAATTCATGCACTGAAATTGTACATGTATTTGTCAACTTTTGCTTACACCATCTCATCCCTTCCAGATGACTTGAAAGTCATAAATCTGACTCCCAGCCTGGCTACTCGTGTGGAATGAGCGTGAAATTGGACCCGATGGGCGCTGGCATGATGTTTGCTTCTGTTCTAAGCTGCTTTGCCCCGAAAATGGTAACACTAAGAACTGTAGTGTTTGCTTGAACTTCAAAGGGGCAGTTTGCCATTTAGTGTCTGCAATTGCAATCCATAATGTAATGTGTCATGGGGTTCATGTTTTTAAATTACATAATCTGTCATTAAAAACCAACTGTACCCTTTTTTTTCTATGACTTCCCTTCACTTTTTATCCTCCTATTTTAGGATGATAAGACCTTCAGCTTGGCTGGACAGCTTAGGCTGCGAGGAAACCACATGAGTGAGGACTCCGTGTACAGAGTGGGCAAAACCTGTAGCTACACCCCCTGGGCCTCCCGAGAGATTCTGTGCGACCGCACCTACATGGAGGCAAGTGAGCAGGGCATGCCCCAAGGTAGCCCAGTAATGGACTAAAGGAGCCCAATGTTACTCCAACGGCTTTATATGCTCTGGAAGCCAAACAGGCCAAATACGCCATCTAAATGTGAATCGGTTCTCCATTGCAGTATGGTTCTTGAAACATAAATCCTACTTTCATATCACATCAATAATTTCACAAATGCAAAATACACACTTGCTGTTAACAGTTGCAGCTGACAGTATTTTTTTTTCTTCCAGTAACTACATGTTTGTGGCAGTGTTCTGAACATCTGTGTAAACAGAGACTTGTCTGATTTCTGTAAATGAGCTGTAACATGGAGATATGGCAGTGTGGGAACCTTAACCCTATAAAGGTGTGTAGTCATTTAACCTTGTTTTTTAAATTTATTTCTTGCTGGTATGAGGTATTCCTTATGTTTCAGAAACCGTACCACAGTGACTAGTGTTAACCTGTCGCGCAAGCGTTGGGCTCTAAACAAAACACCCCTGGCCAGAAGAGGCTATTGTCAATAGGTGCCTAAGATAGTTGGTGTCTATGACTGGGCTAGCCCCTATGGGGAACTGTCACGCTTGTCCTAACTGCCTGTATGAATGATCTACAACTCCAGTTTTGTTTGTTCTCCATCTGTGAAACAAAACAGAGGTATTGGCTCTTAACTGTCCTTGATTCCACTCACCTCTTCAAAATTCATACAGAAGGACTGTCACGCCCTGGCTCTGGGGACTCTAATATGTTGAGCCAGGGTGTGTAAAGTATATGTGTTTTGTTCTAGGTTTCACATTTTAGTATTGTTTGTCTATGTTGGCCAGTGTGGTTCTCAATCAGAGGCAACGTGATTCAGCTGTTGCTTGTTGTCTCTGATTGAGAACCATACTTTAGCAGCCTGTTTCCCCACATAGTTTGTGGGATCTTGTTTCTAGTCGGTTGTGTTAGACCGTGAACTGTCACGTTATCGTTTTGTTGTTTTTTGATCGTGTCTCTAAAAAAGAGTATGTTTGCCTGCAACGCTGCGCCTTGGTCCTCATCTCTGTTAGACGATCGTGACAGAAGATCCCACCTCAACTGGACCAAGCAGCCTAGTGAGGAGCAGAGAGGGTGGACTTGGGAACAGTGGAGGAAGAGCTTCGACTGGGTCAAGCCGAATGAGGAGCTGAATGGCGGAGATTGGAAGCAGAAGAGCGAGAGTTGGGCGAGAACTATAGAGGCCTGGCCCACGGGGAAGAGAGACTCCCAGAACATTTTTAGGGGGGGGCTCACGACGTCGGGGCAGCAGGAGGCCGCGATAGAGCGGCCCAGCGGGTTGGCAGAGGAGGCCGCCAGGTTACGGGGGCCACTGGTCGAAGAGGGGATGGAAGGTGTAGAGGCACGGCGAGAGGTACTGGGGTGTGTTGCCAGTCCGGTCCGGCCTGTTCCTGATCCCCACGTAGGGCCAGTGGTGTGTGTTCCCAGTACGGTCCGGCCTGTTCCTGCCACTCGCACCAAGTCTACGGTGCGCATCGCCAGCGCGGCCCGGCCTGTTCCTGCTCCCCGCACCAAGCCTGTGGTGCGCTTCGTCAGCCCGGTCCGGCCCGCTCCTGCTCCCCGCACCAAGTCAGTGGTGCGCGTCGTCAGCCCGGTCCGGCCCACTCCTGCTCCCCGCACCAAGTCAGTGGTGCGCGTCGTCAGCCCGGTCCGGCCCATTCCTGCTCCCCGCACCAAGTCAGTGGTGCGCTTCGTCAGCCCGGCTCGGCCCGTTCCTGCTCCCCGCACCAAGTCAGTGGGGCGTTTCGTCAGGCCGGCTCGGCCCGCTCCTGCTCCCCACACCAAGCCAGTGGTGTGCGTCGTCAGTCCGGCACGGCCCGTGCCTGTTCCACTGGTGGCTGGTCCGGCACCGGTCAGATGCTTCACGCCGGAGCTAGAGCAATCCGCTCCACCAGTGTGCAGTCCAGCTCCGGCCAGCGGGGCCAGACCGGACCAGGGGTACTTTGGGGGGTTGGAGAGGGAGCGGGGTTCAGGCCCGGAGCCGGATCCGCCGCCTAAGCGGAGTGCCCACCCGGTCCCTCCCCTGTGGTATTTGGTGGGCGCGGTCGGAGTCCGCGCCTTTAGGGGGGGGTACTGTCACGCCCTGGCTCTGGGGACTCTAATATGTTGAGCCAGGGTGTGTAAAGTATATGTGTTTTGTTCTAGGTTTCACATTTTAGTATTGTTTGTCTATGTTGGCCAGTGTGGTTCTCAATCAGAGGCAACGTGATTCAGCTGTTGCTTGTTGTCTCTGATTGAGAACCATACTTTAGCAGCCTGTTTCCCCACATAGTTTGTGGGATCTTGTTTCTAGTCGGTTGTGTTAGACCGTGAACTGTCACGTTATCGTTTTGTTGTTTTTTGATCGTGTCTCTAAAAAAGAGTATGTTTGCCTGCAACGCTGCGCCTTGGTCCTCATCTCTGTTAGACGATCGTGACAAGGACATGGTTAGAGGAGAGGAACCTTGGCTCGTCAATGCGTTTTGAGGAGAGCAGACATAAATTGGAAAGATTAAGAAGTGACACTAATGTATTGCCACATACTGTATAGGGAATAATGGCCTTTCTCCCCTAGGTGTCGGTCAGAAGAACTCTTCCAGCATTCCAAACCTCGCCTGAGCAGCCTATGGGAGGGTCTAAGGCGAGGAGTGGCAATCTCCGGAGAGGAGCTGAGGTAGCCAAGCTTCTAGAATGTCACTGCGAAATGAGAAGTTGGCGCGGAACTTTCCTTTAGCAAGAAGTTTTAATTCATGTTTCCATTTCCTGAAACAGGCTCTTGCTTCAGGATACAATATGACAGCAGTGGTCTTCAGTCCTAGCGAGATGGTCATGACTGTGGATGAGCTCCGAAGAAAGGGCTATGCAATAGCCAACACTCCCACAAGGCTGGTGTTGAGGAGCCCATTAAAGCAGAGGAGACGTACCTACAGAATGTAAGCTGACTTCCTCCATGAGCTAACTGTTTATCCCCCTATGGTTTCTGACGGAGTGGTGCAAATGTTTGGAAACTGAGTGACCCTACCTGAATTTGTCAATGTTTTACTACACAGTGCCCTACTGAACACAGCCCTGGTGTGGTTGCCCCCTGAACAGGTCGCTGGGGTTTCGATGAGGCTGCTCTCAACCTCTACCTTCTTTCAGCAGAAGTGGCTGGTGACTCGACTAGATGCAACTGCTGCTTGTCCAACACCCGGTTGAGTGAACTTTGAAAAATTAAGGTCCTATTAACCCAGTTAATTGGAACTAGACTTTCGTTCGTGTTGATCGTACCTAGGTAGTGTTGAGTGTTTTGAAACAGAAGGAACTATCTGAATTTGTCTAAGGGCATATTTTTATTTGCTACAATGTTCCCTGGCCTACTGAACATGCTGCCTTGTTTCACTGCAGGGGCAGTGGCCTTCACTCCAGAAATGATCACCTGGTACATGCCCAGGCACCTAGACCCACTGATCTCCTCTGGTGCCTTCACCATGTTGGAGGTATACATGGGGATTGATGCCAAGAGACTGGACGCTGAGGAAATGGCTGCCAGAAAATACTCCCTTTCAGTCACTGATGCTCATATTATCATTGAGATTCCGGTGGGGGCAGTCGGAGGCTACTTCAAGGTCGGCAGGGATGATAATCTTTTATTTCTAAATCAGAGTATTTATAAAGCCCCCTTTTTAACGGCCACAATTGTCAGCGCTCTGCAGTAACACTTCTCTCGTAGCCTTCTCATGGGAACACTCTTAGAAACATGTCTTGTGTAAAATGTATCTTTATCAAGCAATATTACTAAATGATCACTTGACTGTCCCCTACAGAGCCATATTCAGGATGACCAGTACTTCGTCACTTACGCCATTGAGCCCATGCTTGAGTTGCTGTGGATCGAGGAGGAAAATGAGGACACCAGATATAAAGTCCTCTTCCCCATCACTACACCTCTGATGGCCAGGCCTTCACAAGTTTGCAACTGTGAGTCTGGTGTAATTGAATGGTGCTGTGGGATGCCTGGGTCATGTTCTTTAGGCACCGACAGGAATCATTTCCTGAAACATGGAGTGATTATCCCTAGAAATGCAGCTTTCTACCAAGCATTTAAATGTTTTTGTGCCAATTAACAGACACGCCCTTGGACACTGAGCAGCCAGTGTTTATGTTTGAGTTGGGGACCTTCAACATCGACGTGGAGCTTCTGAATGTCACCTTTCCCACTGGGGTGTTAACTGTTGCGGAGTGCAATGCCAGAGGCTTCAATGTTCAGGAGCACAGATCCCTGGACAACACCTCGAAGACCTTCACAATGGAAGTGACCTTCTCTGACCCAGTGGTCTTTCAGGAGGTACCTTTCTCTCTAAACGCAAAGCCACATGCCATAACTGGGGCGTTGCCTAATAAGAATGGGCCAACAAAATTGAGCGACTGTATCATGACGTTTTCACCAGCAAATGGTGCTTGATTTACGATGCATCTAGTAATTCTTGAGTATATAATTTTCGTATTCCCTGTGTACTTTAAGTTATCACTTGATGTTGAATAGTTAAAACACTATCAGTTGACAATGCTCTTGACTGTACTACAGAAAAGGCCGGAACAAGGTGTCGCAGCCTTCACTCTTCAGCTGATCTACGGCCTGGTCGTCTTGCCAGAGTACACCCCTTTCTCTCACCCTGCTGTTGTGGACGCTGTACTGCAGGACGTTGGTATGTAACTGGTCTCTGGACTATGCACCACTAATCTTGACTGTTAACGCGATGATTCCAGTGAATGCCATATTTGACTTGAAAGACATGTTTTTTTTTCCCTCTGCAAAGACTGTAAGCTGTGTATTTGGAACCTGTGTCCTGTTCCCAATTTGCCAGGGTTGTGTTCATTAGGGCACACCGTAGAACTTCACACCGTTGAACTTCTTGTTCAAGTAGTACCTCCATGTTTTGTGTTTACTTAACACAACCCTGTTTGTCCTTGCAGTTCCACCATCGGTCACTGGAAACTGTGACCAGGATAACTTTTACATCACCTTGAACTACGGTAACCATAATCCCTTTTTCGTGGTTGTGGTTGGCAAGCGGCGGCTGACCAAGGAGCTTGCTCAACAGTATTTAACCGAGGGTGACACAAACTTTACCATCACGGTGCCCTTCTCTTCACCGGATGCAGTGTTTGAGGTATGATGCTCTCCCTGAACATCATGTTAAGCTAAAATTCTAAATTAAACTGACCAATGAATTCTCCCACTGGTTCCCAGTCAGTTCACTCATCATTTGTCAGGAGCAGACTGGATGTGGCTATGTTGAATCCCTACAACAACATTACCATCAAAGACTTCACCCTGGCTTGCAGCTTCCTCAAAACTCTGACTGGTTGGTTCTCAAACTAATAGTGCACAAAAATACCAAACCTGGGTTCAGACGGTAATTTTTCTCCAAAAACTGAGCCTAATTGTAGTGCCAGATGGACTTCACTTTTGGACTGTTCCCTTGTGTTAGGCAAGCTCAATTAAGGGAAGCAAGTATTGTAATGAAACATACTGTTTGATACCTCATGGTTACCTGTCCTTTGCCCCAGAGTGTTTCTCTAACGGGACGATGACCGCATTGGCGGTGAAGGTAGAGTCTGCTCCCAGTCTGAACCCCGGTCAGCTGAGCCTGAGTGACCCTGCCTGTGGCCCCACCTACAGCGACGACCGCTTCGCCTACTTCCACTTCACTGTCAACTCGTGTGGCACCACCCGGAAGGTACTTTATCCTGAGGTGATGGGTACTGTGTATGGACTGCTCGCTTCTGCAGACCCTAAAGTAAATGTCCCTCTATTATAGTTTATCAACAATGTCATGCTGTATGTGAACGAAATCTCCTTGCCAGATGAACTTGAGGGGAAGACTAATGCAGAGACTACATCAGACTCTGAGGAAGACGATCAATAAGTGATTATACGACTCATAACAATTGTAATGGATATTTATATACCGTTATCACCAGTTGCGCAATACTCTAACCTTGTATACAGGGAAAATGTGGCTCATCTGCTACCAGTCATGGCCTCAGGAACCAGGGGTGCTGCAGCACCCCCTGAAACTCCCCCGACAATCCTCAGCACCCCCACCCAAAACATCTTCCCGTGGCTATGCTACCAGTGTAGGCATGTTTCCCCTAAGTATTCGACCATCCCTCCATTAGGTTGACTGTGTCCTGCTACTATATGGTCAACATCACCCACACGCTGGCCTTCCTCACCAGGCCGCGCAACAATGAGCCTTCTGCAGAGACTGGGACAGGTCAGCTTATGGTCAGAATGAGACTCGCTGATGGTAAGGGTGCACTAATTTCAACTTTCGCTGCATTTTTAAATCTTAAATTGCACAACCATTGCAAAAATGTAAGCGTTATGGTGAAGGCTCAATCTTGCCTTCTGATTGCCTGGGTGGAAATTATTTTGAACCTGTAATGCTTCCACTGATCCAACCTGCTCAGATCTACTTGAGTGGCTATGGAGTCGGAGCTAGGGGTTGACTTGGTGAATTCAGCACAAGCCTCTAGTTGATGTAGTGTTTGTGATAGATGGGTCATGTTTATTGGGGGCACAACAGGATATGAAAACTATGCTTATTGTCTAAGTCCATGTATCTCCCTGTTTTGTGCCCGCTGTTTTGGGACAGTGCTTTATTTCGATCTAAACTAACATGGTTACATTCACATGTATTCAGTAGATCTTCCTAAAACGTTCAGAATATTTAGGCACGTTAGCTAATTAAGTCCTTGAGCCAGCCTAATCAGGCTATTTCTAAAGACTTCAGACCAAACCACCATAGGACTTCGTACATAAGGCGGTTGTGGTTACAGCTGTATTTCTTTATTCTGCTTAACTTGGTTCCTGTCTCTACTGGCAGCTGTGAGAAGCCGGAGGCTCCGTACCGTGTGGTCTTCCACCCAGTGGTGGCTGACGCCAGGGTCCATTTCCCTTCTCACATCAAACGCTTTGAGGTCCAGATGTTCTCCTTCGCCAAGGATCTGGATTACCTGAGTGGCCAGGTGAAGTTCTCTAAACTTTTGTTTTAGGTACATTTTGAGTGGTAATCATCCCTCTTTTAATTGTCTATTTGGTTGGTAGCTCTTCGTCCATTGTGTTGAGGTCATCTGTGACACCAATAGTCCCTCTGACCTCTGTAGTGGACAGTGTGAGAACCAGGACAACAATGAGAAAGGTATGGAATGATTTTCAGACACTGTCAAACACATAACTGAACTAATAAGTTTCTCTTAACAGGGCAAAGACATCTCTGAGGAGTATCGCATGTATGTTTCATCTGGACAGATTCTTCGGGTGTAGATGTCCTATGTGAGCAAAGTTCAAATAAAATGTAATAATTTGGTTTGATTCACTTGCTCTAATTTGTCTTTGCATCAGGCATGGTGGTGTTGACTGGGATCAAAAAGGGCAACTTACACATTTTAAGGTAGCTTCAATGCAAATTTCCAGGTGAGCATTAAACACCAAGGCATATACTTAAGTCTCATCTGACATGTATAAATCAACCCTTTTTGTAATCACACAACTTAACCAGCCACCCTAGTGTTAAGTTGCAAACCAACTTCCCATCTGGGGAAATCTGACTTTACAATAAACAATTGGTATAAAAGCCTTCCGGTGTCTAGGAGGAACGGAGTCAGTGTTCCAGCAGGTTGTTCCCCCAAAGTGAGGCCAGCAGGGTGGTGATGCTGAGCTCCAGGGCCATGGACAGGGCTGTGGATGGATGTGAGCTCTAACTGCAGCCGTGTTGGTGTCTTTTAATTCAGGAAGTAAACAGATTCCAATGTTCCTCTTCTCTATGAGACATGTAGAATTGGCACATCAGTTTACTTCCTGAATGGACTTTACTTAATTCGATGGCCCATGCAATGAGTTCACTAGTGTTTAAGAAATCTTGAGGCTGTTATAGTGCTGCTGAGTCCCAGGGAGAGAAGAGGACTGGTATCCAGCCTGAGGCAGCAGCATGTGAGCCAGGTCAGCCATTACACCAGTCAGTGCTGCAGCAGACTGGACTCTGTTGGGATCCTCCCTGTGAGGTGTACAGAGGAAGGGGTGGTCCTGAGGGATAAGGTGATCCTCTATGCACATGCTGTGCCACTTCCAGGTTCTGACCGGTTGACTGACGAGTAGCATTCACCACCGTCCGTGACTCAACAGGCGTTCGCACGGGTGGCAGTGGAGGGAAGGGGTGACCCAGAGGGAAGAAGCGAGAGACTTTGTTAATAGTGGATAATGTAAACAATGGCTCACTTTTCCTAATTTAGACACACTGCTGCTTCCTCACTAGTGTAACACATGGCAAGTGTTCCTGGCAGATGCCCTCATCCCAGACTATTGCGCAGAAGTCTGGTTCATCAACAATTCAAAGTTGGCTGTACTTACCATCTAATTTTGGTGAATCACGACTGGTGTGGCTCTTGTTACAAGTCATATCGTAATATTTTTTTTTTGTCTTAAGGTTAACTGTTTAGGTTTAAAATCTCATCTAAAGAGTAGAAATGGGCAGTGTTCATGACTTTGTGGCTGTAGTAACTGACTACCACGGTGTGCTAGCTTACGGGGAAGGTGTAATGGGAGATTGGTTGGTAGATTCAGCCTATGCGCTGTTCTAACAGCAGAGCTTTCTTTTCAGCACCATGGAGTGAACCCTAACCATCAAAGTCTGCCAGTCCCTGGATTTATGGTGCTTTCAAGACAACTGGGAACTTTGAAAAACAGTCAAATCATGACGTCAGTGATCTTCAGGTCGGAGCTCTAGAAAGAGGCCCGAGTTCCCGACTTGGAATTCCGAGTTGGATGACCGTTCAAAACGTAGTTGTCTTGAACTCGCTGAAGTCTGAGATTTCCCAGTTCTGAGTTTCCAGTTGTTTTTGAACGCAGCATAAGTCATGCTGGATTGACAGCATGGCCAATGTATTCAACCTTTTCTAGCTAATGATGTTGAATGTTTATCCTTTTAAGCTTGGAAAAGAGACCCTTAAACCCAAACTTGGACCACACACCCACTCCACTGAATAGCAGGCTAGTGATTGCTTTGCAATGCTTGCAGTTAGCTACTGATTCCTTCCAAACCACTCATTGTTGAATTTGCGATTTCCAACTTGTGTAATGTTTATGGCCGATGAGCACCGATACGTTTTATCTATAATTTCTCTTCATATGACAAGGATTGAAAATGATTTGCCAGTAGATTGTCGACTTGATTCATGATAACTGCTTGTCTAGCTTGCTAGCCAAGATTTTGAAAGTACGATGTTGACATGATCAGTCCAATCAAAGCTACGGTAGATATAGTGTGATTTGATGTCATTTTATCTTTGGCCAATGACCTTGAGCCTTCTTGGATGGGCACTTCTAATGTAACTCCATGGCAGCACCCAAGGGGCTTGAATTTTCGAGCTCTCCCCGTAGATTTTGCGGTGACGTAGTATCCCTATGAGTGACAACTAGAGAACGTATTTTCCGCTGGCTGCCCCACCACCACAGAAAGCACTGAGCTAGGCTGAAACACCTGCATTTTGGAGCTGCCTTATTCAAGAAAGCAAAAAAGAGACCATGTTTGTATGCCGCTTTATTAAATCAATGTTGTTGTTTTTTTACATTGATTGCAAACTGATATGTAATACGTATTAATGCCAAAATAAAATGCAAAACAGGCAACAACAAAAAATGATACATATTACAGTGGGGTCAAGTTGTAGAGCTAGGGAGAGGGTGTCAGAGTCCAGGGTTGGATTCTCTTTCCTTTTGTTGGAGCCTCCCAGTTGCCTCATTGATCTTCAAAGAGGCTCGTGGCCTGGAATGCCTGGTGTTGCCATGCCAAGCAGTCTCCTGCCTTTTTTATTTAAGTATCCAGACAAAGGTGTTTGAGTGTACATGGTGGATTGCTAACATAGTTGAATAACACACAAATAGTCTAAAGTACAGGTCATAAGTGCAGCACACATCTGAAAAATGTATCATTAAATATGTGTACATTTACATGTGATTAAACCACCATTTAATGTTATGGCAGCCATTTTGGATTTTGGACGCCATAATGGATTTGGATTCAAGTCTAGGGGGCCCCCTAACGTAATTGCAAGAGGCTGAACATATAAAATCCACAGAGGAACATTTTACTTAAAATACGTTTTCGGTGTCTGAGCTTCCCTTAGAGCTGATTACAATAGCCACAACATCAAAACATTTAACTGTATGCATTTTTGTCAGGCAGGACTATACAGCACCGAACGAGAGCTAATTTGACTTGAAAGTTCTGTTAAACAGTTACCAAAAAGTAAAGCTTACATTCATCATAAATATTCATTGTTGATATTTCCGCCCATTGTATCTGGGTGTTTACAGGTCTATATTTCCAAGATGCATTAAGATATCCTAATGTCGTTTGTGTATGTAGGGCAAACAACTGACTACTTGTATTCCACATTTTAGTAATATCAGAGCTTGTAATTTTGGGTTACATCAGTTTATGTGGCCCAACCCCCTTCAAGCCAGGCATCATTCTGCACTGTTTGAGTTTAGGTGGTGTGTCACTATTTATCAATTTAACCCCTTTTGCAATAACATTTTTACACAACCATCCATTTCATATATGGGAGACTTGAGATATGGAAAAACATGGCTGTGCATTGTTATACCTGGGGTAGGGGTATCTCAAAAACGAAAGCCTTTTTGAGTATTGGGCTATTGGCCACTAGCGTACTAATGAAAACTATGAAACTGAAAGACTCAATACTGAAATTAAGACATCAGTAGTTGATGGGAAAAGGCTAGAACAATACAATATGCATTTACATGGATCTTAACTTAACATTCGACCATCACAGAGTAAGGCAGCAAGAAGCGGACTAGTATATTTTTGCGCTAGTCTACTGTTGGACAGTGCCTTCAGAAAGTATTCACACCCCTTTACTTTTTCCACATTTTGTTGTGTTACAGCCTGAATTTAAAATGTATTATATTGAGATTTCGTGTCACTTATCTGCACACAATACCCCTTAATGTCAAAGTGGAATTTGTTTGGAGAAAATGTTTTTAAAATAATAAAATATGAAAAGCCGAAATGTCTTGAGTCAAGTATTCAATCCCTTTGTTATGGCAAGCCTAAGTAAGTTCAGGTGTATAAATGTGCTTGACAAATCACAAGTTGTATGGAATAATTCAGTGTTAAATAATAGTGGTTAACATGATTTTTGAATGACTACCATCTCTGTACCCCACACATACAATTATCTGTACGGTCCCTTCAGTCGAGTGGTGAATTTCAAGCACAGATTCAACCATAAAGACCGGGGAGGTTTTTCAATGCCTCGCAAAGAAGGGCACCGATTGGTAGATGTAAAAATAAAAAAGCAGACTCTGAATATCCCTTTGAGCATGGTGAAGTTATTAATTAGGCTTTGGGTGGTGTATCAATACACCCAGTCACTACAAAGATACAGACGTCCTTCCTAACTCAGTTGCCGGAGAGGAAGGAAACTGCTCAGGCATTTCACCATGGGGCCAATGGTGATTTTAAAACAGAGTTTAACGGTTGTGATATGAGAACTGAGGATGGATCAACAACATTGTAGTTACTCCACAATACTAACCTAAAGAAGGAAGCCTGTACAGAATAATACAAATATTCCAAAACATTCATCCTGTTTGCAAAAAAGGCACTAAAGTAATACTGCAAAAAATGTGGCAAAGAAATTAACTTTTGTCCTAAATACAAAGTGTTATGTTTGGGGCAAATCCAACAACACATTACTGAGTACCACTCCATATTTTCAAGCATGGTGGTGGCTGCATCATGTTATGGGTATGCTTGGCATCGGCAAGGACTATGGAGTTTTCTAGGATAAAAAGAAACGGAATACAGCTATAAGAATTGGCAAAATCATAGAGAAAAACCTGGTTCAATCTGCTTTCCAACAGACACCATGAGACAAATTCACCTTTCAGCAGGATAATAACCTAAAACACCAAGATGACGGTGAATGTTCCTGAGTGGCCTAGTTAAAGTTGACTTAAATCTGGGTTGAAAACCTATGGCAAGACATGACAATTACTGTCTAGCAATGATCAACAATCAACTTGACAGAGCTTGAAGACTTTTTTAAAGAATGGGCAAATATTGTACAATTCATGTGTGCATAGCTCTTAGAGACTTTCTGTATTTAATTTTCAATACAATTGCTAATATTTGTTAACACGTTTTCACTTTGTCATTATGCAGTATTATGTGAGAGAAAAAATATATACACTGAACCAAAATATAAATGCAACAATTTCAATGTTTTTACTGAGTTACAGATTATATAAGGAAATCAGTCAATTTAAATAAATACATTTGGTTTTCACATGACTGGGCAAGGGTGCAGCATTGGGTGGGCATGGCACTGGAGAGCCAGGACCAGCCAAACAGAATGAGTTTTTCCCCACAAAAGGGCTTTATTACAGACAAATACTCCTCAGCGCCCCCTCGAACGATCCCGCATGTGAAGAAGCCAGATGTGGAGGTCCTGGGCCGCTGTGATTACAATGTTTTATTTTATTTTTCACCTTTATTTAACCAGGTAAGCCAGTTGAGAACAAGTTTTCATTTACAACTGCGACCTGGCCAAGATAAAGCAAAGCAGTGCGATAAAAACAACAACACAGAGTTACATATGGGGTAAAACAAAACATAAAGTCAAAATTACAACAGAAAATATATATACAGTGTGTGCAAATTTACATTTACATCATTTAGCAGACGCTCTTATCCAGAGCAACTTACAAATTGGTGCATTCAACTTATCATAGCCAGTGGGACAACCACCTTTTTTTTTTAAAATTTGGGGGGTGGGGGTAGAAGGATTACTTTATACTATTCCAGGTATTCCTTAAAGAGGTAGGGTTTCAAGTGTCTCTGGAAGGTGGTCAGTGACTCCGCTGTCCTGGCGTCGTGGGGGAGCTTGTTCCACCATTGGGGTGCCAGAGCAGCGAATAGCTTTGACTGGGCTGAGCGGGAACTGTGCTTCCGTAGAGGTAGTTATGGAGGTAAGGCAATAAATAGGCCATAGTGCAAAATAATTACA